TATCCAGCGAAAAGTTATAGTACCCCTCTGTAATAAACTGGTGAGACTTCTTTGGATGATTTATCCAGAATCATCCAATCCAGGATATACATAATTTGGGATTATGTTGGATAACTTTTATGCAAACCTTTATCCTATGAAGTAGCACCTGAGGCGCAAAAGAGATACTACTTTCAGCATCTTGACATTTAAACCATCTGTAAAGTCGTGGGTTGTTAGTTATTTCACTTTGCTTTTTCTTGCAGCATTTTATGGTCTAGCTGCTCCTCAGGGTGTAAATGTGGGAGTGCTTGTCTTAACAAACCATTCCATCTACGTCCTGTGAAGAAGATGAAAATAGTTATGGTATGCACATAAACTTTGAACACTGAGATATTTGGACATATGTTTGTTATTGTGTGCATTTTGACAGCATTGAGTCATCATTTATATCTTTTGTGGCGTTGTCTTTATTAGTCTTTTTATTACCAGGAGTGTAGACAATTCCTTTCCCATATAGAGCGTTTTCATTTTTCAGACAATTGACACCAAAGAAGCTTAGAACCTGATGTTTCTTATTTTTCCACTTTTAAGAGGTTGTACATACTTTGACTGAGTAGTTATGATTGGTATCGCAGTGCTTTGGTCATAACATAGGTTTTTGAATTTTCCTTTCATGTTCATCTTTTCTTTTAGGTTCTCTTTTTTTTGTCGTTTTTTAAGAAAAGGACCAGGGTTTACAAGCCGACTGAAGTAAGTCAAGCTCATTATATAATGATGGATTCATAAAAAGTAATCAATCAATAAATGATAAAGTAAAAAAAGTAATCAATTAGTACCTAAACAAACATAAAATTTGCCAAATGGTACCAACTTCCAAATTCCTCAAAAAATGCAGGGTGGTACCATTTGCCATATCTATTTTTGCATTTCATTTTCTCACATATCTGGTGTAGAAATAAATTATTGTTGCTTATTTTGTATTCTTCCAACTTTTCGTTCTTCTGAAAACCAGCCAATAATCATCTATGATAGTCAAGCTTTGTTGACACGTAAAATGCAGACTGATAAATGTGGCAGTGGGATTGAGGCAGGTGAAGATATCAAGAGAAAAGATTTTGTTATAGAATATGTTGGAGAAGGTGAAGTTCTTTCAGTTTCTTGCTTAGTATGAAGAGTATTTCATGTTTTGCACATTCTGAGCTGTTACACTGCAGTTATTGATGACAAAACATGTGAAGAGAGACTTTGGAAAATGAAGCATAGTGGGGAAACAAACTTTTACTTGTGTGAGATCAATCGGGATATGGTGATTGATGCCACTTACAAGGGCAACAAATCCCGATACATTAATCATAGCTGTTGTCCAAATACTGAGATGCAGAAATGGTATATAAACGGCTTAATATTTACTAATCATTTGTAGCTCTCTCAAACCTTCTTCTCAGGGATACCAGCCTATTGTGGGAATTATTTTGGTTTCATACTGAATCATATTTTCAGGTTGATGGATGGTGAGACAAGAATTGGCATATTTGCGACACGTGACATTAAAAAGGGCGAGCATCTGACCTACGATTATCAGTATGGACATTGAATTTTTATTTTGATTGTTTTCTGCCATCCTAGCATTTTCGGTCAGCAGTCTGTTATCTCCGAGTGTGCATTTGCCCTTGCTCAGTCTAACAAGTGTAGCAGGTTCGTTCAATTTGGTGCAGATCAAGATTGCCACTGTGGTGCTGTAAAATGTAGGCGAAAGCTGGGAATTAAACCTAAAAAACGAAAACTTTCCTCTTCAGATGCTGCATTAAAGTTAGTGGCATGTCAAGTTGCTGCGTCCTCTCCCAAAGTGAAAGCATTGCTATCTCTAAAACATGTGTGTATCTCTACTCTGTCTATGATCTGAGATATAAGAGCAGTGTGTGTCTCGGGTCGATTCATTCTTTTTGCTTGGACGTTTATTTATTAGATTTATGACAGTGTTATCAAAGGCGAAAAGCGTAAAAAAGCTCTAAGGCACAACTGGAGAAAAAGTAAAAATATGTATATTTAGTCCAAGACCAATAATTATAAGCATGAATAACAAATATATGGATAAAGAAATTGAAAAAAAATTACAATAGAGTGAAATATCAATTGTTTAGTATCGCCTTTTCAGGATTACATTCATTGGCAAGGAAAAGTATGCCTTAGAGCCTTGATGCGACATTGAAGCGCCCACAAAGTGAAGCGAAGCGCTCAACATGTTTTGAGCCTCGCTTCAAGGCTTAAGCGTGCTTTAAGCGCGCCTTTGACAACATTGATTTATGACCAAATTCGTTAGTGCTTGTGTTAGAATAGTCATGTAAATAGGAGTAAATAAATAACCCTAATTCAATATATATTAGGAGTAGGACATGTTATGTGTGTATATATATAGGGCTCATTGTAACATATGTTAATACATCAATAATATAATTTCTCCTGTGCTTTCTCACATGGTATCAGAGCTATCGTGAGATATTTATCGCCGTGCGTAAATTCCAGCGACTCCGGGAAGGGAAAAAAAACCTTTTTTTTTTCCGGCAAAACAGCACTGTCCGCAAGAAAAAAAATCAATATCCGTCGGTGTTGTGCAAAAACCAACACCACCACGAGATAGATCAGCTTCCGGCGACCAAACCACAAAAATTTCTCCGGCAGAACCTCTCCCACGCGCCCTCACGCGCCGCCGGAAAATATTTTCCGGCGAGTCTCCGTCGTCACGCGCTGGCGCGTGAGGCCTCTTCCGGCCATTTTTTGGCCGAGCTTCTTCAGGACAGCCTGGTCGCACAGCAATTCCGACCCTACCCATCCTGTTTTCGTTTGATTCCGACCACTTTGAGTTTTTTCGGCGACTACACTGATTTTTCCGGCAGCTACATTACTTTTCCGGCAAACACAGTGTTTTCTTCATCTGTTTCAGAGAATTTTCAGTTGATTCTTTTTGTTATTTGGTGATAATCCAACCATGTCTTTGGGAGTCGATGCTTTCGGGTCTAGAAACCCGGGTTCTGGCAGTTCCGGTGTTATGATTACCTCAGAACCTTTAATGGGAGGTTCAAACTACTTAGATTGGGCTTCATCTGTCGAGTTGTGGTGTAAAGGTCAAGGAGTTCAAGATCATTTAACAAAAAGGCTAGCGAAGGTGATGAAAAGGCCAAAACACAGTGGGAGAAGGTCGATGCTCAGTTATGTAGTATCCTGTGGTGATCTATTGATTCCAAGTTGATGCCCTTGTTCCGTCCATTCCAGACATGTTATTTAGTTTGGGAAAAGGCTCGTAATCTATACACTAATGACATATCTCGTTTCTATGATGTAATATCGCGAATGACAAGCTTGAAGAAACAGGAATTAGATATGTCTACTTACTTGGGACAAGTTCAGGCAGTCATGGAAGAATTTGAGACGTTGATGCCAGTTTTTGCTAGTATTGAAAAGCAACAAGAGCAACGACAGAAGATGTTTCTAGTTCTTACACTCGCTGGACTCCCTAATGACCTTGATTCAGTACGTGACCAGATTTTGGCTAGTCCAACCGTCCCCACAGTTGATGAATTATTCTCTCGATTACTTCGCCTTGCTGCAGCACCTAGTCACCCAGTGAGCTCATCACAGACACTTGACTCATCTGTCCTCGTATCCCAATCAGTGGACAATCGGGCATCTCATACTATGGAGAATAGACGAGGAGGAGGTCGTTTTGGAAGATCTAGACCCAAGTGCTCCTATTGTCATAAACTTGGACACACTCGTGATGTATGCTATTCTTTACATGGCCGCCCA